AGCAAGGGAAATAAAACTAAGAATAGCAACTTCCCACTGTGGGAGTGGATGAGTGGCCCTTTCTAAACAAGCAGGAGTGGTGAATGTGTTTCCCCTTCTGTCTTAACTTATTAGGTAAACAGCTTCTGGTGAGTCTGTTTATGCTGAGGTATTTCACAGTTAGCTGAAGGGCAAAATGCATATACTAGTACAAACAAGAGCCTGCAATATGTGTTTTGCATTCCCTTTTCATTAAAGTTGAAACTGATTTGGGACAATGTCTTGGGAAATGTCTGTACTGCAGTTGCAGTATCAGAGAACAGGAGCTGAGGCAGCTTGCAATGAACAAGCTCAAGTATGGCAGCAGTCTTGCTGTGGTGGTAGAGAGTTTTTTCAGCCTAATTTCCTTGGTGCAGTAAGGACAGGAGGGTCTCCGGTTCTTCACATTTCAGGTATTTGTCATGGATTGCAATGGCTGCCAAGCTGTTGCTGTGGGAATATATTTTGAAGGATACTCAAGATTTCGCAAAACATGTAGTAGTTTCAAACAAGTGGAAATAAGGTCAAAGCAAAGCTCTCATCCAAAAGGGCAAGATTATTTTCCTTCAAGAACATTGGCACTAATTTCCAATGATACGTTTCCAGCTTATGCCACTCTGGAAAAGGCCTGTGACAGTATTGCAGTTAGCAGGATATTTTCCAGCCAGTGGTGACCTGTGGTTTTGTTGTTGATATTGTTTGGTTGGATTGTGCAGTGGAGGTATTTTTTTGAGAGGACTTTCTTTTTCCACAAGACCTCCTTAAAACTCGTAGGTTTTTACCTTTTAATGATATTACTCTTCTGTTAAAATTACTTGTTTCATAGTGATATATAAACACTGGCTGAGAGATAAAAGGAAGATTTATTTTTGTCTTTTCTTTTAGAATATTGATTTGAACCTGTTGTTGCCCCAAAGCTTTTTGATTGATATGTGGAACAACTAGAACCATGTTATGCAATCAGGACAGCTTCAAATTATTCAAATGAAAACAAAATGTGAAACATCAGATAATTCTCTAGTAGTAGTGTATATTTAAACAGGTTAAGTGTATTGCTGACCGTGTATATCAGGAGAAAGCAGAGGCTTCTCTGCTTTATTGCTTTATTATTTTTTCTGCTTCATCTACACAGTAGTGTTACCAGAATAAATCATCTTGGATTGCCTTAGTCAGGCACTGCTGTTAACAGTAAAATAAAAGTTCTTTGATGTCAATTGAGCATGTATATAAAATAATTTTGTTAACAGAAATACAGGCATTCCGAATTTTTGGTCCTGGTTAAAGACAGCAATCAAAAGACAAGAAGGTATTTAACTGAAGCAAGCATTTTGTTTCTTTTTCCTGCCTTAATAGAACAATATGGAATTCCTCAAGTTACTCGTGGACATAAACTTTAAAGAATATAGTTTTAAAAATTAATGTTCTGATTAATGTACTTCTCCCATAATTTGGAGTAATTTAGAAACATATTTCTTATTATTAGATATCTGCACTTCAGTGGGCATTGATGCCACAAATCCAACCTGTTCTGAACATGAGCAATGTACTTGGGCATTGTGGCAGTGCTGTGATGGAAGTGTGCTCCAAAGGAAGCTGCACCTTGATATGTTTATCTTGGAATTTGAGATGCAATTTTCAATTGCAGAGCCTGATCTGCAGTTATTGTTACAATGGCTTGAGGATCTTTTAAGTTAAAAACTCAAAGCTTTAGTTTGTATTCCAGAATGTTTCCAGTGCTGTTGAAAGAAATTGTAGTTGACTGTGTGAAAAGCACTTGGAGTTATTTTAAATAAGTTCATGTAATCCTATATGGCTTAATATATTGGCATAATAATATTGGATTATTATACTAGGACTTAAGCATAAGATGAGCCTTAGTGTGGGTGCAGAGTTGATGCCATGTAGGTTATTTAGCTTCATACAAAAGTTGGCCAGGTGCATACTGGAGGCAAGAGCAAATACCTGTTTTCAAAAGCTTTTGATGATGAGCTTTGCCTCCTACCTTTCAAAGAAGGGTGAGGAATTTGTACAAATTCTAGGGAGTTAGGTCAAAAATGGCTTTCCAGAACATGCAGCTATTTGCCTAGGAACTTGTTCCTTGGAGCAAGGGACCCAGTAAGTAGGAGAGAAGGTTTTTCATGTCCTCCTGCTTTGCAGGGCTGCGACTGGGATGTGCTCTGTGGAGGAGTGTTTCTTAAAGGTGCTCAGCTTAGGGCAGGGATGAGACTCTTGCCAGGGCTTACAGCTGGCTTGCAAGCACAGAAAAAAAGCTGGAAGAAACTTGATAAGAACAAAAGCATTTTGCCTTGAACTTTCTTATGCTTTTCTTTCCAATACATTGCAAAATTTCTCATGCTGTGCCAGTGAAGTCCATTTGGGGTGGTCCCTGTATAAAGTTAAGGTATTGCCTTACAAACTAGGATCAGTAAGATGTGGGCTGGCTGATGAGTCATACACTGCTTATAGGCTACTTATGTCATTTAACACCATTATATAAGTTGGACGTTCTGCAAGAAATAATTGCTGTTAGTTCAATTTCTGAAGCATCAGTAACAGCTTTTAAGCTTTTAAGCTTGGCTTTCACTGCTTCCAAAGAATCCTTTATTTAATGAATTTGTAACACTGCTGCTCGCTTCAGGAAAGCATTAATATTTTTACTAATTACTCAAAAACTGTTTTTCAATAATTACATAATTTTAGTACACCAAGCTACTTGTTTGTTTATCTAACTGGAGCATGCAGCTTCAATTACATCAACATTACTGTTGTAGGAGTATTTCTTTGCATGCTGCATGCATTATTGCTATTAAAAACAAAAGCAAACTAATGTCATGCTGCTAACTCTGAAGGAAGCTTTCATTTGCTTCATCCCTTCTGCCCTGATGAGACATTGTATCTGAGACTTTGGGAGCAGTACTTATTCCATTTTAAAGTCCGTGTGAAAGGACTCCGCTGGTTAATAAAGAAAAGTCTGTCCACTAGATCCCATGTTCTTTGCTCCTTCTGCAGGGGTGCAGTTCGTGCCCCCGAAGCACGGCGTCTCCTGCGATGGGCAGCAGAAGGGGGAGCAGTGTAGCTTTCCTGGCGGCTCTGCTCTCTCCTCGGCCTTTACTAGCTGATTATCATTAGCTGATTGGCAGTGCAGAGCGGCGCTTCTCAGTCTCAAAACTTAGCTCGCGTAAGGAAATCTCCCTGTAGCTGACCTAAAAACCTTATTCTGCATGCTTCATCTCGCTATACCTCTCTGTCCATGCAGTCATTTATCTGGACCCACAGGTACAAAAATGCTCCTGCTATGAGTACAGGTTTTTGTGTTGTGTCTAGCTTATGTTTAGCCTACTCTCCACCAGGACCCTCAGGTCCTTTATGGGAATTGTGGAATTTCCTGAAGCTCCTGCTGTCCCGTTCCTTCAGCGTGTCTGGGTACCTCTGCGTGGTGTTGTGCCCTCAGAGATATTGAGTGCACCTTCCCCTTTGGTCTCATCCTCAAACGTGACAAGAGCATGTTCCAGCTCCTGCTGGTCCGGAATAAAGGAGTAAAACAGGCTTGATCCCCCAACAAACCCCTGTGGAACTTACCCGGTAACCAGCCTCCAAGTAGCTCACAAACCTCAGGAGATTATCAGGGGATCTATCCTTTGAGCCTGATGACGCAGGTTTTCATTCTTCTAGTAGTCCATCCACCTATCTGGCCTGTAAAGTCCCAACTTGAATACAAGGATTTGGTGAAATCATTTCCTTTTTTAAAACTTTGCAAGGCTTTTGACTTTTTTTTCTTTGATAATATTATTATTAGATTGAAACTTGTGCATGAGGGCACAGAGTTGCTCAAATGATGCTGTACTTTGTGTGACTTTCTCTGAGATTACACCTTGAACATAATCACTTCATCCCAGCTAGCTACTGATAGCCATTATCAGCAGCACATCATTTTAGCAGCAGAGAGATTATTTGATAGCTGTTAAATGTAATGTTGAGAATCTTTACAGATGATGATTTTACAATGTGTTTTGACATCTTACTTTATTGTCTACATTTTCCATAAAATTCTGTTGAAAATCTATTAAACTCCATAAAACACTTATTTATCTATTATTTTGTTTATCTTTTATTTCCTTTCAT